TCACCGTGGACGAAGCGGAGTCCAGCCCGGGGTCGTCACATGTGGTTGCGCAAGCCCTCCGGATGCTCCTTCGTCGAATCCGCCGCTTCTGCTCACTCAGCCCGCCAGCCATTCCTCACTTTATCCCCCGGCCTCTGCTCACTCAGCCCGCCGGCTGTTCCTCACTTTATCCCCCGGCCTCTGCTCACTCAGCCCGCCGGCTGTTCCTCACTTTATCCCCCGGCCTCTGCTCACTCAGCCCGCCGGCTGTTCCTCACTTTATCCCCCGGCCTCTGCTCACTCAAGGCCGCCGTGTGTGATGCTATGTTTCATTGTGAAAGCGAAACTACTTTGTTTGGCCTTCCAAAAATGGACACGACTAGAAATCAGTGGTTAAGTTGTATTTACAACACTGTTCCAGAACACTTCAACCCAAATATTCAGATGTGTGCAGCGCATTTTATGGAAGACTGTTTTCTGATCCTGGGAGAGTAGACTACAATGCCGACTGTTCTGATTCAAAGACTGTAAGTACGTTTTTTATATTTAAAGAGTTTTTATATTTTATATATTTAAAGCGAGTTTTTTGGGCAGTGTAGAGCAGGGCTTGTTGTTTGTCATTTCTCCAATCACAAATGCAGACATGGTTTTATGTTTACGTGGCGCGATGCAACGCAACGCGTAAAAAGACAGTACAAGTCATTATAATCCATAATTATGTCCCCACTGGATGCAACGAATGCCTCGTTTACAATGGGTTTTCATGTTTTTGAATCAGCGCTCCGGGCATCATCACAATGTGGTAAGGGGCGTAACATTTCCGTCACATGCTTGAGGTATTCGGCCAATCACAACGCACTGGATAGCGGGCCAATCACAGCACACCTCGCTTTTTCAGACCGATGAGCTTTGTAAAACGCGTTTCAGAAAGGCGGGGGATAGAGGAGAAACAATAATGTACAGTATGTGGAAAATAATGTGTTTTTTTAACCTTAAACCGCATAAATACATTTCATTACACCAAATACACAAAATAATGCTCTTTTTAGCAGCATCATATGACCCCTTTAAAAGAATGGATTTAATTGCGAACTGTTAGTAGGCTACTGATTTTGATTGTTCATGCTAGCTACGGCATTCGAGTCTTCGAGTCCACAATTAAGTGACAGCCTGGTGAATAACCTGAATTACAAAAAGAAAAAAAAATCTTTAAAGGTTATTCATATATTCATATTCGTATTGCTGCCAAGGTATCAAGTCTTTACAGTGATTTTATGTGGAGCTGTTTGGTAGATCGCAGTCTATCTAATTTGTTTGTCTACACCGTAATTAAAATGCGGCAGACTTTAATGGACAGTAAAAAAAAAAGGCAGAACACCGTATAACTGTGAAAGCGAAACTACTTTGTTTGG